ACTGCCCTACACAGACAAATTGGTCTCCACTCCACCAGCTTCATCTTCCCCAGGCTTTCCTCCAGCATTGCTCCTCATCCCTCTGCTAAATGCCCTTTCTTCTCCCCTCTACATTCCTAATCCTCCTCATCGGGATCAAGACTGCCCTCAGCTGCAGATAAATGAATCCCTCCTCCCCCAGTAAAAGTGGCTCAAACATCCAATGGTATATTCTATAATATCTGGGTAGAGTAAGTCCAGGGGTGAGCAATCCAGGGCTGGTGTGGAAACTCCATAAAATTGTCAGGAACCCAGGCTGCTTCTGTCTTTTTGCTCTGGCATCCCCATACACCCACTCCATACCCCAAGTATGCCTTGCAGACCAAGATGTCTGCCAGGAAGCAAAAAGGAGGACAGGGAGAACAACAATGAACGCACATCTCCCCTGTGAGCCACTTCTTTTGAAGCAGACTTCCTCAAAGTCGCACACACCACCTCGGCTGCATCGCATCCACAGGACCCAGGCTCATGTCCACATCTAACTATAAGGGAGGCTAGGCAACTCTTCTCAACTGAGCACAGGGTTCTATTACTAGGGAAGAAGAGTGCAATGGATATTGGCTAGGCAACCTTCAGCCTTCACTATGCCATCTCTAAAGCTGAGTTCAAATCTCACTTCATTTATAAAGCCTTGCCTGCTCATTCCCAACTGTTAGCAGTCTTAGCTTCCAATGAAACCTTCTAATTTGTGTCTAAGCCCCTTATGTTCAATTTCCCATACCCAGCTACTAGTTAAATATTTTATTGCCATTTAAAGTGGCTTTCTCGGCCGGGCGCGGTGCCTCAAGCCTGTAATCCCAGCACTTTGGGAGGCCGAGGCGGGCGGATCACGAGGTCAGGAGATCGAGACCATCCTGGCTAACAAGGTGAAACCCCGTCTCTACTAAAAATACAAAAAACTAGCCGGGCGTGGTGGCGGGCACCTGTAGTCCCAGCTACTCGGAGGCTGAGGCGGAAGAATGGCGTGAACCCGGGAGGTGGAGCTTGCAGTGAGCCGAGATCGGGCCACTGCACTCCAGCCTGGGCCACACAGCGAGACTCTGTCTCAAAAAAATAAATAAATAAATAAAGTGGCTTTCTCCTACAACATATCAAAGTCTGTATAATGCAGGTAAGGTAGTGCTTTGAGGGAAGTTTATAACACTAAATGTTTTTATCAGAAAAAAAGAAAGATCTCAAATAGTAAAATAAGCTTCCACCTGAACAAACTAGAAAAAGAAAAGTAAATTAACCCAAAGCAAGCAGAAGGAGATGCATAAAGAACAGAAAAACAATGAACAAAATCAATGGAACCAAAGCTGGTTCTTTGAAAAAATTAATAGAACTTATACACATCTAGCCAGCCATACTAGGAGAGAGAGAGAGAGAGAGAGAAAGAGAGAGAGAAAGAGAAGACACAAATTACCAAGATGAGAATTGAGAGAGGAGACAGCACTACAGACTTCACAGACATTAAGAGGATAATAAGAGAATGTAGGTAATTTCTTACACAAACAACCAAATTTACTCAAAAAGCAGCAGATAACCTAAATAGTTGTATATCCATTAAATAAATTGAATCCATGGTTTAATACCTTTCAATAAAGATAACTCCAGGGCTTCCCATTCTATCAAACATTTAAGGAAAAAATAATACCAATTCTACACAATATCTTCCAAAAGTAAGAGGAAGAAATACTCTCCAACTCATTTTACCAAGCCAGAATTACCCTAATGACAAAACCAGACAACGATATTACAAGAAAAATAAAGTAAAAACCAATATCTATCCCTCATGAACATAGATGCAAAAATCCTTAACAAAATAGAAAAATGAACTCAGCAATTAAAAACAAAAAGATAATGTACTAAGACCAAGTGAGTCTTATTCTAGAAATTTGAGACTGGTTCAACATTTGAAAATCAATGTAATTCACTATATTGACAAAGTAATAAAGAAAAGCAATGTGATTATTTTATTAGATACAAAAAGGCATTTGACGAGATTCAACATGCCTTCATAACAAAAACTCTCAGCATACTAGGTATGGAAGAAACTTCCTTAACTTGATAAAGAGCATCGTAGAAACCCTGCAGGCCAAGCATAGTGACTTAGGCCTGTAATCCCAGCACTTTGGGAGGTGAAGGCAGGCAGATCACGAGGTCAGGAATTTAAGACCAGCCTGGCCAACAAGGTGAGACCCTGTCTCTACTAAATATACAAAAATTAGCCAGGCTTGGTGCTGCACACCTGTAATCCCAGCTACTCAGGAGGTGGAGGCAGGAGAATCGCTGGAACCCAGGAGGCAGAGGTTGCAGTGAGCTGAGATCGCACTATTGCACTCCAGCCCGGGCAACAGAGCGAGACTCTGTCTCAGGAAAAAACAAAACAAAACAAAGCAACAACAACAACAAAAAACCCTACAGCTAACAGCATACTTAATGGTGACACACTAAATGCTTTCCTCCTAACATCAAGAATAAGAGAAGGCTGTCCTTTCTCACCTCTCTTATTCAACATTGCCCTGGAATTTCTACTCAATACAATAGGCAAGGCAAAGAAATGAAAGGCATATAGACTGGAAATAAATAAATAAAATGGTCTCCACTCACAAGTAACATGATTATCTTTGTGGGAAATCCCAAAGAATCTACAAAATGCCCCTAGAACTCAAAAGTAAGTTTAGCAAGTTTGCAGGATACAAGAAAAACATACAAAAATCAATTGTAGGATGAGCATCGTGGCTCATGCCTCTAATTGTAGCACTTTGGGAGGCCGAGGTAGGAGGGTCACTTGAGGCCAGGAGTTCAAGACCAGCTTGGACAACATAGTGAGACCCCCACCTCTACAAAAAATGAAAATAAAAAATTAGTCAGGCATGGTGATGCATGCCTATAGTCCTAACTACTTGGGAGGCTGAGGTGGGAAGATTACTTGGGCCCAGGAGTTCAAGAGTTCAAGGTTGCAGTGAGCTACGATCACACCATGGCACTACAGCCTGGGTGATAAAATGAGATTCTGACTCTAAAAAAAAAAAAAAAAAAAAATCAATTGCATTTTAAGTACCCCTGCTCTGAACAATATGCAAAATTACAATTCAAAAAAAATTTAAGGTACTATTTACTATAGCACCCAAAAATGAAATTCTTGAGTATAAATCTAATAATATATATGTAGGATCTGTCTGCTGAAAACTATAAAATACTACTGAAGGAAATCAAAGATAAGTGGATAGACACAGAGAATTCATGGAAAAAAACACTCAATATTGTTAAAATGTCAGCTATGCCCAGATTGATCTCTAGATTCAACACAATCTCAATTAAAACCCAATGGGAATTTTTTGTAGATATAAACAAGCTGGTTACTTTTTCCTCCTGAGGCAGGAGCATGGCTTGAACCCGGGAGGCGGAGGTTGCAGTGAGCTGAGACAGTGCCACTGCGCTTCAGCCTGGGCGACAGAGCCAGACTCTGTCTCAAAAATAAAATAAGATAAAATAAAATAAAATAAAATAAAATAAAATAAAATATAGGGCAGCACATGGAATTTTGGGGTGATGGAACTATGTCGGGCCACTGGTGGTAAGTATATGACTGTATGCACTGGCCAAAACCCTTAAAACTATACATCACAAAGAGTAAATACTTATATGTAAAAGTTTTTTAAATTAAATGTTTCCTTCTAGCCTTTCCTGTTATAAATCTCCTCAAAATGGAGACCATGACATTCCCTGAGCAGCCCAGCTCCAGAGCTCTAGCTCTGGGGAAAGCAGGAGGTAATTTAGAAAAGCGAGACTGGAAAAATGGGTGGAGAAAGGAGGAAACCACTAGAAATGGAAATGCAAATCCCAACATTTCCCATCATTGCTAACGTTTCCTGCAGCCTTGGCACCAGGCATGGCCCAGGTCGAAATACGGAAGAAAACAGAATTTCCCTTTGGATGTCTTCTCTCTTTTCCCATCTCTCCCTTCCAGGGACCTTCTGCCTCCATCAGGGAATCCATACAGGGGCCTCAGTTGCTTCTATCGCAGGGATTTGCATATTAAAAGACATTGCAGGATATGTCAGATCTTATCTGGATCCATGAAGGAATTTGGGACCTTAGTTCAAAAGTGTGATGAGAGTGATGGGGAGTACGATGGGGAAAGGGGAAGGAGGAACACTGCACAATACCCAACATTCCTCCCTGAATCTGAGGCATCCTTTCCAGCATTGCCTCCTGCCCCCATCCCCAGGGAGAGGACGCTCCATACTCAGGTCTAGGCACGAGCCAGTTTATCAGATCCTCTTAAAAGTGATAATAGGGGAGGTGGCCGGGCGCAATGGCTCACGCCTATAATCCCAACTCTTTGGGAGGCCAAGGCAGTTAGATTGCTTGAGTTCAGGCGTTTGAGACCAGCCTGGCCAACATGGCAAAACCCCATCTCTACAAAAAATACAAAAATTAGCCGGGCATGGTGGCAGGCGCCTGTAGTCCCAGTTACTCAGGAGGCTGAGGTGGGAGGATTGCTTGAGCCCAGGAGGCGGAGATTGCAGTGGGCTGAGATTGCGCCACTGCCTTCCAGCCTGGGTGACAGAGACTCTGTCAAAGAAAAAGAGAAAGAAAGAAAGAAAAGAAAGAAAGAAAGAAAGAAAGAAAGAAAGAAAGAAAGAAAGAAAGAAAGAAAGAAAGAAAGAAAGAAAGAAA